AGGGAGTAAGCAAGAAAAGGATCCTCCTGCCAGACTGGTGTGAAGTGGCCTCTGCTCGTGACATACCATGTGCTTTCCTGAATTTAGGAAGCAGTGAGTTTGAATGAATGTGGTGGAAGTTTGCCATAAGCAAGGCTAGTTAGTGGTTAGAACACAGGGGATTTTGTGTGTTGTGTTGGTGGCAAACAGAACTGGTAAAGCCACAACCGGATGTTGGTTAGGTTCAGTAGGATGAGCTGACTTTACCTTCTCTATAGTTTTAAAGTAGTCAAGGAAAACGTTCAGTTAAGAGGGGAATTTTTTTCAGAAGCATTTCAGGGACATAGGAGCATCAGCCGTGCTGGAAGCAGACAGAAGTTGGTCTTAGTATCTCCTCTCTGACATCCTTGTAGAGTTTCATTCTGAAAAAAAGGTGATTTTATGGCATCCTGCATCAAATCTGAGAGGGCACATTATGGCTCTCCCTAAAGTATCAAAGCCCCTAAGCCATTTGACCATAACAGCTGGGAAAATGTAGTTACCGAGTTCCCGTGTAAAAGTTTTTTGGAGTTTGGACCTTCAAGTTCTGACTTTCTGCCAGTAAGCAGTGGAAGACACCAGACAATGGCTTTGCAGATGAAAATGCGCCATTTCAAATACAGAGGGAAATTTCATAATACCGGACATCTGAAAAGACAAGAGGAAATGGGCTGCTTGATGGGCACCTTCGTGTGCCAGCAGGCTTGCAAAGGATATTGTGTGTGCTGAGCAGTGGGGCAGATCAGATTCTTCCCCTTCTGTTCCATATGATAACTCTGTTTTTAAGTAAAGTAAAAAAAAAAAAATAGAAACCAAATTCGAGTATGGAGTACTGCGTCGAGCTCTGGAGCCCCCAGCACAGGAAAGACATGGACCTGCTGGAGTGAGTCCAGAGAAGGACCATGAAGACGCTTAGAGGGCTGGAGCACCTCTTCTGTGAAGACAGGCTGAGAGAGCTGGGGCTGTTCAACCTGGAGAAGAGAAAGCTCCAGGGAGACCTTACAGCACCTTGCAGTACTTAAAGGAGCCTACAACAGATTTTGAGAGGGACTTTTTACAAGGGCACGTAGGGATAGGACAAGGGGGAATGACATCAAGCTGGCAGAGGGTGGATTCAGACTAGGTGATCCCAGTAAGTCTAAAATAAAATCACTTTGATGTAAAATTTATTTAAATTACGGTAAGAAGTAATTCATTACAGTAATTTGATAAGAAACATTAGGTTAGGAAACAAATGCAATCAGCGCAATACATTCTGATTTAGATTTATTCGCTCAGGAAAGCCCCATTCTCCTTTATCCTTCAGGAATAATACCATCTGGGTGTATGTGGTGAGTGTCTTTCAGCCAGTTGGAGGAAGGAAGAGAGAGAAGTTGGGGAGACAGTACTGCTGTGCCTCTTTTCAGGAGATACTCTGGGCATGCATTAATCTATGTCCATCTATGTGCTTCTGCTCCCCAGTCTCTTTGCATTTCTTCGTTGTTCCTGTATTTGAAAGAGTGAGGAAAGGCAAACAAACTAGTGCAGTTGAAGTGTCTGTCTCCTACATTTCCTCCTGCGTTGTGGCAGATGAAGTCTGGGGGTGTCCCCTGCAAAGCACAGGTTAGCTATGGGGAGCAGAGCTGCTGGGAAGGCCTGGAAAGCATGATTTCTCTGGGGCTAGTTGCAGGCAAAGAAATTCCCTCACACAAATGATTCTTAAAAGTTATTAAGCAAAGGCCAGGTTGTTGATTTTTAAAACTATCAACTTTGAAACAGAAACTTCTTGTGCTTTTAAATGAGGAAGCTCTGTTTTGTAGGGGCAGGGGGGGTGCAGGTGCTCAGAATGGGTGCATTTTTCTCTCAGCAGTTTTTTCTGTTATGGTACTGCCTGTCTGGCTTCAGGCTGATTCAGGAAGATTTAGTATCAGAATAGTCCTGTGAAAATAGTTCTGTAAAAATTAAGAGTCAGCTGGGAACTGCTTGTTTGCTAACCAGGGCCAATTTCTAAAAACGTTTAGGAAAGTACTTTTGGAAAAAAAAAAAAAAACAACAAACTTATTTGGTTCTGTGGCTACGGTTTAAGAGCTACTGGCACATATATGGAATTGCGTGCCATTTTACTGTTGCCCTGAAAATCAGTGAGAAAAATTCTAACTGCAATGTTAAGCTTATTTAACAATCTTTAGTGATCTGGAGTATTTGCCCTAATGGCTCTATTTTAACTACACCTCAGAGGAAAGGTATTTGCTCAGAATGTAAATTATTATGCAATAGTAAAGAAGAATATGCCAACAGTGTTTCATGGCTGATCATGTTTTCAGCTTCGCTTGCTTTTTGCTGAGTTGCCTGAAGCAAGATGTACTCAGCCTGAATTAACTGAAGCAGACTTTGAAGTCTTGAGAATTTCCCCATGATCATTTTGAAAGGTTTTGTAAGCTAATGAAAATATTTGGAAAAATTTGACACTTGTTCCATAATTAAAGACATACTTGTCAGTCTCTGCACCTGGAAGCTACTTTTGCATAATCGCTTTAGGAATTTGTGAATCTGGCCTTGTTTGAGAAGGCGAGGGTGAGGTAAATAAAAAATCCGAAAGACCTGGGCTGCCTAAGTGAGGTGGAATTTACTCTGTATCCTGCTTAAGAGACTGTGTGCAACTCCTTGCTGTTACCTTATCAAAGCGGGAGGGGCTGCAAGAGAAATCCCATGTCCTACAGTTGCCCCGTACCAGGAGAGGTGTTGTCAGCGTGGTCACGTATAGTTAATCATGCTTGGCCCGGTGAGACGGAGCTTGCAGAGGAGCTTGCAGACGTGTTCCTGCTGGTGGCCTCCTGGCCAGCACTGCACTGGGCTTGCCATTTGTTAGTACCACTAACAATCCAGAGGCAAGGAAGGGATGCGTTCATTTTCCCTCTCACTGGCTAGTTTGCTAGAAAATGTAGTGATTCCTCCTGCAGACTTGTTTCTCTCAGAAGTGATCTCTGCACCACTTGACATGAGTTGCACGCTGCTCCACTCTGCCCTCGTCCCACATGCATGTGCTCCCTCTGGTCTCTGCATGCAAGAAGCAAATAAACGTATTTTCTCTTCCTGGCACATCCTTTCTCTTTTCTCTAGTTGTTGTGATCAGTATACCACTTAGTGTGTTTGGCTCCCTGTGCTTTTTGGGAATGGAGAGATGAGAGTCCCAGTAGTAACATTGTGTTCCCAGCCCTGCCTAGTCTGCAGGAGCTCACAAGAAGCTCTGCCTTTCCGGGAGAGACTAATCACGAAACACTGGAATTAACAATGAGTCAACATTTGTTTGAATTATATAAAGCACAGTTAAAGCCAAAATGCTGAAAACTGGAGTTTCCATACCCATTAAGTAGGAGAAAATGATCTGGGTTTTGAGAAGCAGACTGAAAGGAGACAAGGGGGTGTCTGGCTGTATATAACCTCCAGTCCTGCAGTTCTCCACACTCAGGCTCTTCTGTAGAACCGCAGAAAGAGCGAACACCATGTTAGTTATGAATTAGTTATGAACATGTTACTATTTAGGCTTCCTGCACCACTCCCTTTCTGGGATTCTGTACTGAAGCGAGACTCATGGATAAGAAAATAAAAAAACATCCAGGCACTCTCAGCTGAGGGACTGTTGGGGTTTTGTTGGGGCTTTTTTTCAGTAGCAGCTGTGGAGCTTTACCCAACCTTCACTCAGCAGGCAGGTTCTGCATCGTGGCCTGAAATCTGGCCTAGAAAAATGATATTGCCTTCCTTTGGGCTTTGCTGGATGTTCTTCTGTGGGAATGGGAATTCAGTTTGTTACTTGCTCTCTAATGGAGAGCCTGGCACTCCTGTGGGAGGGAATTTCTGTTTCTCTACTAAGGCCATGCCACGTAACAAGGGATGCCGAATAGCTTTCATCCTTGAAGAGGGAACACGTTTGCTTTGAATCTGGGAGTAGGCTAATTGCACATAAAGTTTGCAGGCAATTTGTAGGACCCATTGATTGGTCAACTGAAATATTGATGAGTACCTGCTGCGTGTGCTTTCACTGCTGCCTAGTGGAAACATTAGGAGACTCACGTTCATCATCTTTAAAGCATGTTCATCCTGTCATACCCAAACACACAGCAATAAGGTTTTCTGCAGAGGATCTCTGGACACTGGAAAATTAGAGATCTCAACCTGTTATCTAGTTGCAGTTTACATGTTGAAACTTATGAAACATTTTCTGAAGTGATATTTAACTCTTTGACGTCTTCATCTAAAGATGGGCTTCTGCCTTCCTATGCATTTGCTCCACCATTTTTCACTTCGCAAAAAGTCCAGCAAACCCACAACACCCTCCCCTTTGCTTTTTTGTACCACTTCTTTGCGTCTGTGCACTCCTTGGGTCCGTCTTCCTTTGCTTGATTTGCGTGGCTTCTTATGCCAACATTGGGATAGATGTTTGTCACCTTGCTGGTTGAGTCCCACGCCTTTCTTTCAGCAGTGATAGTAGCCCTTCAGTTCCCTTGTGCTTCAGTGTGAAATAGTTCACGTTTAATTGTTTTGTATCATTTAGTTCATGTTTAATTGTTTTTTATCATTCTTGTGGTTCTGAAGATATTCTGGAAATAATTTATAACAAATCTACTTGAACTAAATCCCCTCCCTGACATTACTGGCATCTCATTCCATTTTGTTTGTCCTGAAAACCACAGACGGGTTGCACAGACAGGTAAGATGTATGACTTGCAGGAGAGCTTTACCCCTCTGGAGTGGTGTCTGGAGGGGAAACAGGCTATCATATATTTGTAGCAGTACTTTAGTGTCCCAGGTTTGGACAAGTGACATTGTTAGCATTGTGCCAAAATCACAAGCTACATAGCATGTTCAGTATCTTGATTTAAGGAATAAATTTATTGCATGTGTATCTGAGTTTTATGCATTCAAACAGAAATAGATGAGACTTGTTCATAATGACAGTAATAAGATTGTACAACATGTTTCCTTATTTTGTCTTCTGTTTACAGGTCCAGCAAGAGCAAAGGAACCACACCACAGAACCTGTAATAGATGACTATAAAAAGATGGGGACTCTCTTTGGCGAACTAAACAAAAGCCTTATCAGAATAGGCTTCACAAGGATGTACTTTGGAGAACGGATAGTAGAACCTGTAATAATTATATTCTTCTGGGTTATGCTCTGGTTTCTTGGCCTACAAGCTCTTGGACTGGTTGCTGTTCTGTGCCTTGTCATTATTTATGTGCAACAGTAAAATTTTATAGATACTGTTCAGATTATGTATTTCTACGCTGCCACTATGGCAGTGGATTTATGTGTTTTAAGTAAATGAGCAGCATATCAAACTGCAACGTTTCAAATTGCTGAAATTCCAGCATTTGAGTTGAGGAAGACTAAAATTACGAATTTTAAGCCAAATCAGAAGTGCCCTGTTACATCTTTGGGGAGTGGTGGGGAAAGGAGATGTTTATAATATAATGGTGTCAAATGTACTGTTTTCTGTACTCTTGGGGTTTTAGCCCAGGGATTGGCTTTTTGTTGTCCCCTCCCCTATCCCCATCTTCTTGCTTTGTATAGTGAAAATTTCCTGTCTGATTTTAAGAGGACACTCGATGTGAGTGTCCTGTTTCACTGTTGGGGGTGTGGGGGGGCTCATATGCTGTTAGTTCCCTGAATCTGCATAATTTGTTAGTGTTTTGCTGAAAAGCTAAATCTGCACAAGGGAGGTTTAGTAACAAACTACAGTGACAAATATTCACAAAAGCTTCTTTGGTTTGTATAGTTTATAGTATGCTTTCCCCCAGGAAACAAGCTATACCAGCAAAATGCTCTTACACTAATATTAGTGACTTCACACAAGGCTTCAGCTGTTGTTAAGAAGAAATTGCAGTCCTACATTGGCCAAGTGGTCAAATGCAGCTCTGCCTTGTTTTTTTTTTTGAAATGTACTCAGCTCCTGCTGCTATTTTTCTTTCTTTATTTTTTGTACTTGCTCTTTCCCCCAGCCCTCCTTCTTAAGATAAATATTTGGATAATTCATGGAGTTTGTAGGTAGTTACAGCTGCAGTGTTGGAGAGTTGCCATTCCAGACGGCAATGCTAGGATGTTGTCTGCTTCCTCTGGGCGGTGTGTGAAGTGTCTGAACAACCAGATATCAGACCAGATCTCTTAATGCTTCCCTGGTTCTGCAGTGTGGGCCCACATCAGCTACAGCCTTGCTCGCGTCAGCAAACCAGATCTGTTTCCTCATGCAGGGCGAGAATGTTGTCGAAACCAGGTGGTCATTTTATTTAGTAGTCTTAAGTGCTTCATTTCCACACTGGGCAACAAAAAAAATGCCTATCTGTAGTTATATGTCACAGGCCACACAAATTGGGGAATAGGGTGTAAATATATATTCAAGAGTAGGTTCAAAATTCACTCTGACTCCCCAGGGGCCACACCAGGGGTATACTGAGTATTTCCAAGTTTGAAGAAAAACGGTAAAATGAAACAAAATCTTTACTACTTCTGCTTTACTACTACTACTGCTAAATAGGCTACCAATTTAATAATTGCCGTACATTACTTTTACTAAGAAACTTGAATTGCTAAATTGATTTAATCTATGGTCCAGTGAAATTACATATTTACTTAATGTATTAGGACATGTGAAATTTACAGAAAATTACTTAAACTTTTGCAGTGACTTTTTTCCTAAAGAACAGCAAAATTAGATATCAACAATCAATTAGTTGAAAATGCTGTCTTATTCAGAGATTTTTGAAGTTAGGGGAAGTTTCTATATGGTCCCAGTCCTGCATCTGGATTCTCAAGGCCACTTTTATGCCTGCATGGATCACGTTGACTACTAGGCTCTATTTCCAGGGCCTCTGGCCCCAGTCCTTATGGACTTTCCTGTTCGGGAAATAATTGTTATTTAGGGCAGTAAACATGAAGGCCCAGTTCCTTTAAAGATGGCAACCCGTGTAGGTTGGCAGCTAGTTAAATAGTTACACTTGTAGCAGGGAAATGTTGGACAACAGAAGGTGTTTCTGGATGCAAGGGTTTTGTTGTTCACATCGGGAAGACCCAAAGCAAACAGCAAGTACAGGCTGAACGCAGAGGCAGGAGCTCTGTACTCCAAAGTGCTTAGGGGTAAACTTTGGGTTTGTTTCAGGTCCCCTAGAAGCAGAACATCTGTTTACACCTCTGCGTAATTTGTATAGCTAGAATGGTGGTTTCATGTGTATTCTTCTCCTCTGTAAGGGCTGTGCTACAAAAGCATCCAGTCGTTAAAAAGGGGGAAAAAAAAAATACTTCTTTCTTTCTTCCCACAATCCAGTTACTGTTCAGAGGGTCTCATCTAATTCTTTTCATCCTGTAGGAAAAAGTGTCTCTGTGATAGTCTTGGTGCAGTAGTACTCTTGCGTATAGACGCTCTGCTGTGAGATGGCATGTGGTATTTCCCTGGGGTGGTGATCTTGCTCTGTACATATGGAATGGGGGAACAGTGAATCGTGAGTGTGACCGACAGCTTCAGTGAGGACGTTGTTTATATGTGTGTAACCTTTTAGTATATGCATAACTGTGACTGTTGCACTCATGAGTTCATTTCAGTTGGTCGTTCGCTGTTCGTGTTACACATGTACTCAAGGGAAAGGTAGCTTTTGGACTGAGATTGTGTATAGTGAATGTCTTGTGTGATTTTTCTGAAGGGTAACTTGCTATGTCTTGTCCTTCAAGGAAGTTTTTCATTTTTAAAAACCTGAAAAAATAACCCTCCTAATAGTGTTAGGTTGACTGAGAGTGGAAAAAGAAAAATAATATATTGCATGGAAGATACCCCTCTCCTGTTCATACATTCCCTCATATATAAGAATTTGTACTGAATTGTCTGTCCTAATTTTGTGCTATTACTGTGCTATCTCCCTCTCATTTGCAGGGAAGGAAAGAGGGGTTAAGGAAAAGGGGATAGACTCAGACATAAAGAGTGCAAAACGGAATGCAGTGAAATATGTGTCCAAAAATCTGACCATAATTGTTTGTCAAAAGTGAAGGGGAAGTGGGTGAACAGTCCTTGCCTTTTGTTCTTCATTCCATTCAGATGTAGCTGCAAGGCAGAGGAAGCACCAGGTGTTCAAAGGATGTCCCTAGCTAAAAAGCAGAAGGTTAATTAAAAAAAAAAAAAAAAAAAAGTCAGTTTCACTGTTGTCTATATAGTAAAAATCGTTCATGTTATTTATACTGTTAAATATTATTGTTCTTGATAGAACTGAAAGCACCTTTATGCATCTGTGTGTAGGACTGCATGAAGGAATTATGTCCCTTAAATCTGTGTTGAACAACAAACGATGCAATTTCTGTTGGTCAGTGTGACGTTGAAAGCGTTTTACACAACCTGGGGTATTTTTAAAGGATGGACTCTTCAGTACTATTTCACACCTACCAAATGGATAAATGTTTGAACTACCGTGTACAGAGAAGAAATTCCACGTGCAGGAGAATCTTGGAGAACCCTGTTTGCACTGAAAAACCATCACATCAAAACTGTCCACATAAAAAGGAAAAATCATATTTCTTAAAAACTCTGTATTAAGTGAATCTTCTGGAAAGCACTTTGTTACTCTTTCTAATAAAAAGTATTGCCATCAATGAATCTGCGAATTCTTTATGGTGATTTGTTCAAGGTTTCATGGCTGCTTTCAAAGTTTCATGGTAGGCCCAAAGGAAATGGGCCAGTGTTCAGATAACTGCTGAAATCAGTTAACTTGCAGCTAGAGGAGAAAAAACTGCAGTGCAGGAGCTGAGTAAACTGCATCTGGTTTCTATGGTTGTATGCAGCAAATTATGCTGAACCAAAAAAAAATAAATAGTAGAGCTAGATGTTAATAAATAATGATAGCATTACGTTGTAAAGCAGATTTTAATTCACTGCATATCTATTTTGCATCTAGAGCAGCCTCTGAAGGAACCAAATGTAGTCAGGGATGTGAAGAATCCTTTGAAGTGACAAAAGGTGTGCCACAGAAAGGTTTGAGGATTTTCACTGGTTTTTTTTAAATATGCATAGAACAGTATATGGTTTAAAACAAATCTACTTTTAACTACTGGTTTTGCTTTGTTCTGCAAGTCAGAAGGGTGCTCATTCTGCCACATCCAACAGATACTTTAATGTATCTGTTGCTCAGGATGCACAGTGAGTTAAGCAGTTTAGGTTTTTTAAAGTAGCAAAGTTGTATTTTGGTCCTTCAGACTCTCATTGGTGGATGTGCACAACAGAAGTAAGAGTTATTCCTGAATAAATTCAAGCCTTCAAGTTTTATTTCAGTTGAAGTATCTTGGTCAGGCCTTTTATAGGGTGCATGCAAATTCAAAACCAGTCTCTGATTCTTTCCATCCTGGGCTTTACTCTAGGTTTTGGGACTTTATTTCTTAGCCTCTTCCTTCTGCCAGAACTGAGAGCTTCATCCCCTTTATGTGTTCCTCCTTTCACTCTGTAATTTTACCTTCTCTGGGGATGTTCACTTTGAACAGTCTCTCTCTCTTCTGCCAAGGGTTCAGGCTTGTTCATCATTCAATCTTCTTAAAAGCTACCTAGACAGAAAATCTATTTTCAGATGGGTATTTTGTTTGTTTTACTGCGTGCCTGCTTAACAACAGAAGGGAAGAAGTTAGAGGATTTTTTAAAAATATGCATAAGCTGGTTAGTCACTTCATTTTTTGCAGTGCTTATCTGCTGGTTTAGATGATGGTTACCAAACTTCAGTGTGCTGTCACCAAAGGTCCAAGAGAGCATTGTGAATGTGTGGGATAAGGAGCTGTTAGTAGGTTGGCATCAGGATTTTGAGAGTAGATGGGACAAGCAGTTTATGGCTTAGGGTCGTTTCAAGCTTAAACAGGCAGGTAGACTTCTAACTTCCCTTAACTCCTGCCAATGCCTCAGTTACTTCTGAGAATATCTCCAAATGTGTATAAAAGCATCAGTATTCTTTTTTCTATGCTCTGAAGAAAACTGAGCTTTCATCAGCTCTGTTTTACACAGAGGAGCCAAAGAGGATGAGAATGGTAAAGGGGAATTGGACAGCGTTTTTTAACTTGCATATGCAAGCTAGTGGTCTTTTCAGATTATAGTCTTGTACNCCCCCCCCCCCCAGCCTACATATGTGTTTTCCAAACAATTTATTGAAAACTACGCCTCACTTCTCTCAGGTGGCAGGAGGGATGTGACTGGATAAAGCCCTTCTGATGACAGGAGCTATTCTTGCTACAGTCTCAGGAGCACCATCTCCCTCTCAGGGTACAGCAGGCTGTCAGAGTGCTAGGGAAACATCTTGCCCAGTCCCAGGCACTGTTGAAATATCTGGAGTCCAAGTGGCACAGAGGGAGAAGGACTGTTATATACCACAGTCCAAGAGATCTGGTAAGACAGTGTTTCAGACAAAGCTGTTACAGAGTACTATCTATAGATTTTATGTTCATTAAATGAAATTCAATTAAGCTCCATTGTTTCTTGGCTTGTCCTGGTGCATCACCTCGTGTTCGGAATGAATGTTGCTTGCGGCAAATGGTTCTGCTTCTGGAACCCATCTGTAGACATATTTTATATGTACCATTTAGTGTTAATTGCATTTTAAAGCATTACAAGGGAAAAGGGCTCATCTTCCAGTCTGCGTTTGGATGAGATTTTAATTAATATATGTGAGAAGGGAGCCAAATTAGTCACTGGCACACTGATGAGGGCTTCCTTTTAGAGGAAAAAGTTGCTAACTGATGTGTGGGTAATGGATATACAAGAAACATGGGTTTGCATACTGTGCAGAGTGGGTGGTGGACAGTGATCATTTTTCTGCCCTAGTTTACTAATTAATTATCTGTTTTTTAATGTAGTTATCTTCCTTAAGCTAACTGGAACATACTTCCTGGGTACAAGAAGTCTTCACGAAGGAAGTGAATTATTAAGGAAAGCCCTTAAGTCAACCAAAATCCTGGTCTGTAACAGGAAGTCTCTTCTTGACTTGAAAGAAATTTGAGTTCTTAAGTGTTTTGGCTTACTGATTCCTTATCTTGAATATTTTACCTCGTTATTGTTTAATATCATTCTTTCATTCATGTTCTTTCTAAAAGTTGTTAATATCAGTCCAAAATTCTTGAAAGCCACTTCA